ATCAAATGAAGCTACTTGATTTAGCGTGAAATTGTAAACATGGTACGGCATTCGGAAATTGATCAGTTAAAAGGAGGAATTTAGGGATTTGTAGGTACGTACGATTTTGCAGAGTTTCGCCAGACTTAGAGAAGTACAGGAAAAGTACATTTACTCTACTCTACATTTCATACTTATATGGGTCATTTTTAAACAAAGTGTACAATGACAGGAATTTTTTATATTTTATTTAAGATTTACAAATTTAACCTCTGAAATCGTTTACTTGTGTGCAGAGGCTCTTGAACAAGAATTATAAATTTTTTCTTATTTTTGCATTTTTGTAAAATATTTTCCAGAAAGTCAGTTTTTTAAAAGCAGTTATTTTTTCGATTTTCTCAAAGTCCGGGCAAAATATTGTCGTAGAGTAAAGTTTACCAATGTTCCTTTGATCCCAGGATGTCCTAACAAGAATCCTGGATTTTTTTTATTTTTCGAACTTTCCGAGAAAATTTCGATAATAGCTGAAAAATTTACACAAGAAACTTGGATTCGTTTTATTTTTCGAACTTATTGGGAAAAAGTGCAATAATAACTTAAAAACTCCGACTTCTATATTTTTAGTCCAAACATTTTTTAAGTCCGAAATAAAAGTCCTTGCGTAATAATAAACAAACCGCTTATCCAAATTAAACAAATTTGTTATTAAATGAAAGAGGACTGAAATAGCCATCAAACGGAAAGTTGCCAGGTTGAAAAGTCTTTACTTTTAAAACAGATGAAAATCCCATTAAAAACCTCACAAATTATTTCAATGGTTCCATCTAATCCCATCCAGCCGTTTCCGACTGAATCACCGTATACCGCTAAAAAAAGTTCCAACTTCAAAAAATAAAACTTCTACAGGTTCGAAATAACGGTGCAGATCAGATGAGCTTCAAAAAAGCCTTCTCGTATTATATATCTCTATATGTACATATGTATAGTACATACATACATAGTTAAGCTCTTTGAATTAGTGGCAACCCTAATCAATAACATTTTCTAACTAAAGACGGCTGGACACTCTATAATATGAATATTTCATTTAACCTGTGTATAAGCTAAACAAATTAAGTTGCATTTGATTCTTTAAACACGTGGCACCTCTCTTCTATACAGTTCAGAAACTAATCCGTTTTAAACTCAGTTCCATTAGCACCCATCTTCTAATTATTAATTTCACTTAGAAAATAATTTGAATTAAAATTTTTAAACAAAAAGCCGCAAAAAAATTCTAAATGTTCAAACTAAAATAAAGATTTCCATATTTTAATATTTCAAATAACTTATAAGATAAATTAATTCGATTTTTCAATCAGGTGGCAACCCGCCAAAATGTATTTTCAAATTAAAATCTTTTTCAATCTTTTTTAACTGATGAAATAAATTGAGTAAATACACACCCATCTTTTAATAATTCATTTAACTTATTAAATAATTTTAATAAACTATTTTAAGGGTGCCAACCCTCTTTAAAGATTTCAAAGTTCAAACTAAATATTCCTTGAAAATGTCTCATTTGTTACCCATATTTTAATATTTTTTTAATTTAAAAGTTGCAACGCGCTTCAAAATATTTTCAAGTATTACGTTCTGACGTCTGTCACCCATATGGTGGTAAATATTTCAATTAAATTAGTTAAAATTGAATTTGAGTTTTTTAAACAATTGGCAACCCTCCTGCATGTAATTAAGAAATAAAGCATTTTCAAAACCATTTTGGTTGATACACATATTGCCATAACTCATTGAACTATTTAAAAAATAATTTGAATATTATTTTACATTTACAGCTCAAGCCCTATAATCTTACTCCCCATTTTTCAAAATCGAATGAACGGTGCGGATTAAATAGCATTGCTAATTAAATACTTTTAAATTAAATTTTTAACAGGTGGTAACTCTTTTTGAAATAATAAACCCTCATTGCACACTTACAGGCCAAGCCCTTTAAGATGACTCCTCAGGTTAGAGAATCGAACGAACGGTGCAGATTTGATGACCTCGACAAAAATTGCTTCGCGTATTATATATATAAAGTATAAAAAAAATATATATAAATAGGTGGCAACCTTCGTTTAGATATCATCTTTTTAAAGCTATTTCAGTCCTTTTCATTTGATACCAAATTTTTTTGATTAAGCGTTTTTTTTTTGTTATCTGGAAAGGACTTCATTTTGGACTTAAAAAATATTTGGCCAAGTTTAACAGTCTAATTGGTCTAAATGAATAAAATTTTACGGATTATTTTATTGCAAATAAAATAAAAGTCCCAATATAACCTTTTCGCAACTACTTTTATTGTAAAAGCTATAAAAGTTCGGGTCCCTGCTTAAAAGTAAACTAAAGGAATAAATAAGTTTAGAAATTGTTAGAAAAAAGTATACTAACCGATAAGCATTGTATTGATTTTTAACATTAAATACATGCTTTTTAAACATTTGCATATCACTTTAAAACTCAATGATCAGATAAGCTAATTTCGAAGTTTTTTCCACCTTCTTTATGACATCAACGTGCGATTTTATTGGGGCGTCTTTCTTCGGCAACAACGTCCCATTGTCATTTGCCCACTTTTGGAGAAATAATCTATTTAAGTAAAAAATCCTTTTCCACCTAAAAGTGACATTCTGGAAATACTTAACATTTTTTTGGTTTTTTAAGAGTCTTATTTCACGAAGATATAAAATCAAGGAAATCACTGAAACCTTTGAAGCAATAAAGAGACATGGTACTTATCGAGTACAAAGTGCTGGTATTTACTTGTTTTCTCAATTTGGGAAAATCAAAGAAAAATAGGTCCATGCTGTGGTTTTCAAAAAAAAAAACGATTCAGGATGTGAACTATTCGATTTTGCAAGAGTTAAACCTAAAAGATCGCACGAAAGTGGAGAACAAAAGTCGTACTTAATTAGGGGAGGATGTGAGTATTTCCTAGCGATACTTTGAGTAGCATCGAGTATTCTCATCGATACTTTTAATTAGTACATGCATCGAGTAGATGGTGGCATCGGACGAACACTAGTTGCAGCACATAGACCCTTTTGATGACATAGTATTTATATATGTCTTTGGCTCAGTACGCTGAGCGGGTCCAAAACGGGGGTAATGAGGGAGTCATTTTATGCCGAATCAGGGAACCCAGAGCGATCTTCGGTTTGATGTACTCATTTTAGCATTTTTATTTCAATGGCATTCCAATTAACGACTTAGGGTGTATTCACACAGAAATCCGAGTGGAACCCAATGAAGAAAGGCAGAGCGAAGCAAACCTCCAGGTGTCCACACTGTACGAGGCAGAGTGGAGCTTCTCGCACGAACTCGACTGCTTAACTTAAACTTAACGTCAATGAAAAGCGGCAAAAATATTTGCTCAATTCCGTCCAAAAGATTAGTTGAAAAACTCGTTACCTTTTTGAATATTTTGGAAAGCATAATGTTTTCAGTCCCAAAATGCTTCTGAGAAAACTTGCAGTAGCTCGGCTGGAAGGCTTCACTTAGCTCGGCCCGGCTCCGCTCTCTGTGTGAATGTACCTTTAAGTGCTTTTAAATTTTCCAGTAATTGAACAATGCGCTCGACTGCAGGGTGAGAATATACTTTTTATTGTGCTAGAAACAAAAAGTGGGGCTTTTCATTGTGACTGATGGGATATTTGACTCCCGAATGTGATCAACTGTGAATTATAACTATGGCTTCGAAACTTATACAATAGTGGAATATATTCTTTAACCTAAATAAAAAGAACCCTGTCATTATGCCATCGGCTCCCGGCGCTTCGATTTTCTTCAGCCGCGTTATCGCTGCTCTCAAGAACTAGGCCCGGACTGGAAATCATTTGATTGCCGCAGGCAATAGCAAACGTCCAAGTAGATATGCTATCTGCCGTTCCAATTGTGTGGAGAATAATCCCAGCCAAATGCTATACAAATTGTGAAACAGCCAAATATTTGTTTTAATTTTTAATTTTGTAATTTTGTTTAGTAATTTAGATAGGTTTGTACACTACTTTACATTAACCGCATTCAACAACTGCAACGTTGCACTGTTAATTCTTGCAAAGAATGTCCGAACCATCATTTTTTACAAATTCAGGCTAAAATAAATGCTTTTCAAATATTTAACAAAGTGAATTTGAGCTCTTTTTACTCTTTGTTACTAAAGTTAGCAAATCAAACGTCCGCTAAACAACAATTTAGTTAAAACATTTCAACAATTCAACAGCACGCACTGCTGCCCTTCAGATGCATCTTGCGAGTTTTTGACAAAATTTGAGACGCAAGTAAGTGAATGCCGGCGGCCGAAAAAATCACACCTCGGCACTAATGCCAAATCTTCCGCTGCATGGAGAAGATGAAGCTGATGCTGAAGCAGCGAAGCATAGTTGCCAGGCTTGAATGTCGTCCAAAATCAACAGTACACACACACACACACACATACCAATTTGTGTGCGCATATAAGTACTACATACATCCGGTTTTTTGTGCGTCAAATGCTCTAAGGTCATAAGTAATTTTAACTTGAAAAGATTTGAAAGTTCTTCTTAGTGCATAGGGGATATCAGTTACGCGTAACTCAGAGCAATTCGGTCACTGAGTAGTACTAGGCGGCGTAATTTAGTTTTAGTTTATTTTCGTTATATCTTTATTTTTTTTTTGTTTTTTTTTTATGTCTTTTATTTGGCAAAGTCGAGCAACATTTTTTTATTTCTGTGACACATACTAGCAGTAACCAAGTGACGAACTATAAAAGCTGTTGGCAAGTTCTTAGAAGTCATCAAAAGTTTGATTGCATTCTTGGACAACAGTTGGGTGTGCGTCTCTTGACAAAGTGCCATTCGACAAGTGTACGTGCAACAAAGTGTGCCTCCAAGGATTGATTCTCTATAGCAGTTTGATTATCCTTTGGCAGTGTCGAAGCAATAGCAAAATAAAAATAAAAAAATAAAGCAAGCAGAAGTATTGTATCAAATTTCAAACAACTTAAAGCAATTAATATAAAATAGCCTAGTGGAGAGAGCTGCGATCGAAGGAATAATAATGAAGCGGGTACGTGAATCCAGTTGCTCTTTTTTGTGTACATATATTCTTGGATATATAATAATTTTCTTTAACAATATGTACTTGAGGAACCAAGGTAAGGTTAAGGTGGATCTTGTGTTCAAAAACTTTAAGCTCAAGAAGCAATTAAGTAGTGCTGCGCAATATCGACACCAAAAGTACTGGATTCTCAAAAGGATCGACAATACCCGATACTGAGTACTCACATAAGAGCCCCAAAGTACTCAGAACCTGTAGGCGTTTTTTAATCTTAAAATAAGACGTTACATTTAAAAAAAAAACTTTGAATTTATTTCGCTTTGCTCCTTTCTAAAAGTTATATTTACTATAAATAATTTTATTGTAATTTTGGTCTTGACTTCATACCAAGCCAAGCGCTCTCAGTGTGTAAAAACTATGTAAACTAAAACTGATTTATGCGGTTTTTCTTAATTTCAAAATCGGCAACTGGTATTTTCTCAAATTGCAATTTTTCGAATAACTCGAAAACCGGTTTTGGAAAAAAGTCGATTAATCGAACACCCAACCCAGTACTCAAAAATACTCTGTTCCAGCCACACTTTGATACATGTACTCAGGATCGATTCGAAGTTATGAGTACTAAATGTTGAATAGATACTTTAAAGTACTGAGTTCTAATTACATTTACCGGTATTCAGAAATGACTATATTCAGTTTTGATAATATAAACCTCGGATGATTACGCATGTTTAAACCTCTTGCAATGTTTGAGTCAAAATGCCCCAATTTTCATGGACCAATTTTTTAATTACAGAGTTAGGCAATTTTAAAGAAGCTGCAGCATTTTCTATTCGTTAAAAGCATAATCAGCTATGGTTTGCCAAAAATAAAAGTGTTTTTTATTTTATTTTGTTTTCTAGTAGGCCACATAGTTTTTCCGTAAATCTTTTTTTCTTAAAACTGACTAATTTCTATTATTGGGTGAAAATTACCCAAAAAATTATAGGAAGGAGTAAATTCTAAACACTTCAGATGGGTTAAATAAACCAGCATGGTTGATAGAATTTAATATGTTGTGAAGGCTTATCTTATGCTCTTAGAGTGGTATATCTGCTTCTCATTAAAGTCGGACACCTGCAAAATAATTTACTTTTCGTTTTCAACTTTAAATCTTCTACAGAATTTGTTGTATTCGATACGCGGAAGTCCGACATGGGTAGCAACTGGAAAATAGCAAGAAAAACTGCTACCAGCCTCGATACTTCCGGTCTAGGTTTTCCTAATAAATAGAGTATTCTTGTAGGATCGCATGCGGATCCCATTAGTTAGGCTATGCGACACGCAGGCACTTTGCTTTGACCTGATTTCTGAAGAAAAACAATTTCTCTAAATATTTTTCCGATAGGAGGTCAAATGAGGTCCTAGATTGAAGCCAATGTATAACCATCAGTGTTACATAACCGGGAGTGTAGCGAAGTCTACTTCAAAATGACGACTAACTCTAAGTATCCAAAGGATTCTGCACTCCTAAGTCGGCCTTAAAAGGCGAGAGCCTTGTGCGGTAGCAAACACTTCTGGCTGAAAAATACTCGCAAATTTAAGCAGATGGATTGATCTTCTTAACCCTAGACATCCAAGAAACACAATTCCCGCATCAACTCGGGAATTAACTGCAGTTGATCCGAATTTAGTCCGAGTTAATCCGGATCAACGCTGCCGTCTGTTTAAGTTTTTAGAGTTTCCTTCATGATGTTGCTCACCGCAGGTGGAAATAACCGATTACAAAAATTACCGCCTCATCTGCAAAGCCTATTAATTTCACTCCTCTTAATTGAGCTCGATTCAATCGTCCTCAACCAAGATCAAGAAAGTTTTTGGCGACACCTGCACACTTCCAACAGCTGCTTTACTGACACAAAGGTTCTTTTTGTCGCTTGGAAATTCATTTTACGAGCAAGCTTTACCAAAAAAGGTCCACACGCATTTTTACTAGTTACTTATGGTTTGGAAAAGTAGGTGAAAAATATTTGGACGCTAAATTTCAAATATCTCATCAGGGACACTATCGTGTTTTCATAAATTCGTCCTTCATGATTAGTGCTGCGTCTACTAACAATAACGCATTGCATAAATTAGACTCCATTTCTCAAAAATTCTACCTATTGATCCAGTTGCCCTAAAATTAAATGCAATTTTATAACAAAATATTGTGTTCAATAAAAATAAAATTTTCTTTAAAAGCTCTCCCTTCCCACGTACATACTAGCAGCCATTGCATATTGTGTCAAATTTCCATTGTTGCACACTCGCCCTCTATTTTTCCCACACCCCAACGTGTGACTATAAATCATTGGCATCGCACCAACATGCATTCGCTGGGCTACAGCAACTTTGTAGTTATATTTTACAGGACATTCGATCACATACTTTCATATCACGTTTATATACATACATACATATGTATGTACATTAGGCGTATGACTTTTTTGTGGAAATTTGTACCTATTACTCGACGCTAAGAAATCGTGAAAAAAAAACAAAAATAATGTTTTGGTGCCAATTTGACAAAAAATATCCCTCCGAATTTTCAAGGCATATACTTTGAATGCATCGGTTCGTAGAAAATCAGGGTCAGTGATCGTATTTTCGTAGATTTCACGAAAATCTGACCACGTTAGATTCAGCTATAGCGCTGATTACTACATATCTGCTTAACATTAGCGGGTTCTTCTCAAAAATCATGCCATGCACCGCATATAAATTGGCAGACTGGAAGCAATTGAGCTTTAAACTTTCGCTCTCGTATGTATAATAACGGCTCTAGGTCGACGTTAGTAGTAGTTGCTATGACAACTATTTCAGCAACTATTTTTTTAACATTTTAAAATTAAGTTAATTTATTTTGTCCAATTTCGTGTTTTTTTTTTGGAAATTTTCTGAAGGGCAGTTGATTAAATTACATATAAAATACTATTTTTTCTTATTTTTTGAGTTATACCGGCGGAAACAAATGAAGTATCTAAAGTTTATTAAAATTTTTTTTTCAAAAAACCCGATGACACTAGGGTTAGTGTAATTCTGATTTTAGCCAATGGACCATCACTTCACATGTAAAATCCGAATCCGAATATGGATTCTTGTTTAATGAAAGTAGAAAATTTTTACAATATAGCTAAACTTTGGTTTTATCAGGCTTGAAAAAGTGAATTAATTAAATTGCAATTATCTTCAGACGTGCTTAGCGAATTATAAGTAGGTTCAAACTTTTCAATGGGATTCCCGCGGGAAATTTTTAAAAAGTATTCTTAAATTAAAATCACACCCCGGTTTCATTAATGTATACATACATATAAACTCATTGCATGATACCATGTACATTAAATCTTTCTAAAGTTGAAAAGTCATATGCCTAATTCACATATGTATGTATGGTTGCGTACGTTTTACAACGTGGCGTCCCACATAAATATTTTACAATGCAAGTATTTAGTCATTCCATCACTGATAAAGGTTCAATAAAGTGCGAGGGAAATTGAATAATTCGCGCACATACATAAATCTCTGTTGACGAATATTTATTTCTGAGTAGACATTTTTCCCTTTCTTTGCTGCTTACTTGTCCGAAATAAAATTTATGTCTTTGCAAATTGTCCAATTGACAGCAATATGGAAATACATCGCAAGTAGATGTTTCAGCAGCATGTTGCTAGCAACAATATAAATGAATTGGATGAGGATATTGTTGAACAATGGTTTAGAAATGTAATAATCTCATAAAATTTACATATACATACATAGAAGTGAAGGACATAGTGTTATCAATATAACAGCTTATTAGTTTAAAACAAAACAAAGGTATCGCGTATGTATGTATATACAATTTTGTTCACAAAAATATTAGTAAAATGTATAGGCAAGCTTTGAAAATGTTTGTTCTTTCCTTACTTAACCCTTAATGCATTCTGTTTCCATTTGGCAACAAACTCTTTAGACCGGTTTAATTATTGCTTTGACAAGAGATAACAGTTGAGCGTGGTAACAGTCACATATATATCACGATAATAAATGGAGTTGACATAACTTCAGTTGTCTGAAAAGGCAACAAATGTGTTACTCTCATCTCCTCCTTTGTTGGAACTCATCCTGAGATATTGATAAAAAGATAAGATCAAAAGCAACATAAAACTGTAGATGCAAAATTCCCAATGTTTGAGTTAAATCAACATCGAGCCTGCCATCCAAGCCGAATAGAAAAAAGTACCAGCGCAGCATATACCACAAGATATTCACAACGATGAAATTGGACACTGGCTTGAGTATGTGGAAGATAAAATTCGATGCAAATATCCTGGATGCTAGGGGTTCAGTCGCACAAAAGGCGACAAATGCGGAGTTGCGTCATGCTTGAACAAAAAACACCAATTGTTTTAAGAACTTTCATTTGAAATGAATTAAAATCTGTTTGCCTCAAATGTATTAAAAAAATATTCTTTATAAACACGATGTAGTCATTTGGCCACACACCGTTAACCTTAGGATTAAAGGACGATTTTGAGTTTTGAAATATTTTTATTATTTTTTTATTTCTTTCTACACTACCATCTCTCATTCTAACTAGAAATTACTAGAAAGTAATGCATTTAAGGGTTAATTTAAATTTTTTATTATTTAAATTCTTTCTAGAAAGGCACAGATTTTAAAAAAATTAAAAAAATAATAATATTTTTTAACCAAAAAACAAAACCGACTTCAATTCTCATGTAAAAATTTATCCAATGATCGGATTTAAACCAAATTAGAATGGGACCACCTGTGAGGTAACACCTTTCCTTTAAAAAAATAATTATAGAAATCGGTTAAAGTGGTCCAAAGTTATGCGGTAACATACATAAAAATTAATAAAAGAATATTCCGACGAATTGATAACCTTCCTTCTTTTTGTGAAGTCGGTTAAAAATTTAATCGAAATATCTAGCTTTTTGATCCGAATTTTTAAAAAATTTAGGAGTACTTAGTTTTGTAGCCCATTCAATTTCAGTGGAAGACTAGCTCGAGTCAGAATTTGTTTGCATATTTTAAGCTACAAATTTAAAACACATTTAGTTGTTGTGCTTATTAAATACAACATTCACAATGAAATGTTGACTGAATGGTATAATACCGACTTTTGGCTAAACGAATTTTCGAGTAGGAATAAAAAAGCTTACCGTCACCTACGCATCCGCAATACTACCGCTGGAGGCCAGTCGTTGTCTGAGATACCACCTCCACTACTTCTTTGGCCCATGTTATTTGCTTATTTTCCCGGTCAGTAGAGTCAACCACGGCTTCTAACCTTTGTATGATTTTGATTATATTGCGCTAAGGTTTTTTTACCATCCCTATTACGCACCTTCTCACACTCCTTGGATTCACCCTTTCAGACACTCGCCAGAAACACCATTCCTTATAGCGGACGCATACCTACCTGGATTAGGGGGAAAGCAGTTATTGGTCGCTGTTCACCCATGGCCGGAGCCGCGAATGGGCTAGCGTATATGACGGCACACCATCCGCGTTACCCGGATCCTGAAGGGAACTATATGGCGATGCAGCTAAGCTCCCTCACCGCGTCAAAGTGCCTACTGTAGCGAAAGCAAGAATTTTTTTTGTTTCATATGAATGATATGAAGCTAATTTTATTCATCTGTGCGCTTTGGATAAATAAAAAGGCCTATCGCTCAATTCGGGATAAGGTACGATGAATGTATACCTTATCTTAACCCAGTAGTTCTTATGCTGATCTGATACCCCAAGTACTCGATGAAATTTGTTGAAATATATCTGCTATACTACCACCAATTACAAATTTCAAAAGTTCAATCGCATTCCAATATATGGATCCTGATTTTAAGTGATTTCTTTCTCTGAGGAATCGGGAATTACTTGTGTTTACCAACTGATTATTTTGCGGTTTTAGTCCAGGATATTGCTCAGCTTTGGGATTATCCAACTGCGATTGCAGCAGACCCAATAACTTCTCCATAACATCAGTAATATATGAAGCTTTAAAGACTTTTTGCGAAGTCTCTGTCCGAGAGGGCATTTTTTAACTTCTAGCTACTTCAGCATCATACTAAATAGACGTTTGTATAAACTGCAGATTTCTGTGCACACGTCTAAAACCTACTGTCAGTTTGTCTATAAAATATTTACGATTTCATTAAGCTTTCTCTTTTACTGACTCACTCATTTGCACTCTACATTCTCAACATCAAAATGGCAATTGCTAATTTCCCAGAAGTGTTGTGCGCCAAGTAAAACTACCTACATAAAATAGAGTGATGTGCACTACTGGCAGACTGTTGCTTGCAACAATAAATTTTAGATGGACAATGTTTCAGCTACACTCTTTCATGCGCACAAATACAGCTATTTACAAATGCTCGGTTGTCAGTCATATGCAAAATTAACTAACAATATTTTCGCTGCTCCTCTTCTCTATTCCAGTTTTACTACATACTCGGTGTTTGCCTGTTGTCGTGCCATGTTGTGCGCGCCTCGTATTCCCACCTGCAAGCGATCGATTTTTCGCAGCTGCAACAGCAACAGAAGTCATCAATTACCCAGCAACAACAGCAACAGGACCGTGATTCGCAGGAGCAAACTGACACCACCACCGACTCATCCGAGGACTATGACAGCCATCCGCAGTATAGCTTCGCTTATGATGTGCGCGACACGCTGACCGGCGATGAGAAGCAGCAGGAGGAGAAGCGTGATGGGGATTTGGTGCAAGGACAGGTGAGCGAACTGATGCAAAATGTGCACACTGCCTTGAATATAATTTCGAAATTTCACTTTCCAGTACTCTCTCGTTGAGCCAGATGGCACCCGTCGTGTTGTTGAGTACACCGCTGACGACATCAACGGCTTCAACGCCGTAGTCTCCAAGCAACTAGTTGACGAACGCTCTCGCTCATCTACCTCTTCCTCGGCCACCGCTTCTTCATCGCGCTACAACAGCTACGAGGCTCTGCAGTCGCAAATTCAAGCACAAGCCATCGCCGAAGCCCAAGCTCAGGCCGCCTCATATGCCGAAGCGCAGGCGCTCGCTGAGGCGCAACTGCAAGCGCAAGCTAAGGCGCATGCCGAAGCTATGGCGCATGTCCAAAGCGACGCCGAATTGCAGGCGCGCATTCAAGCGGAGGCACAGGCACGCGCTCAGGCCCAGCAACTGATGGAGCAGTTCCAGCAGCAGTACAAGCAACAACAGCAACAGCAGCAAGAACAGCAGGAACAATTGGTACAATTGCAGCAGCAGCAACAGCAACGCCAACAGCAACAACAGCAGTTGCGTTCTCAAGTGCAACAATCACAAGAACGCTTGACTAACGAACAAGCGCTGCTGCTCTCACAAACGCTGCCCACCCGCACGCTCGGGCACAGCGTTCACGCCACTGTGGTTTCACATCCGCCTACAATATTGACGCGCGCACCCAGCGGCAGCGTATACGCCCAACAGCGTGATATTTCCACATTGAAGGAACTGCGCGATGGCAGCACACGCCAAACGATCGAACGCACCACGCTGCCGCAAATTGTCATCACACAACCGGCAAGCGCCACGGTGCAGGCACAAGTCATACACTCGCCGCTGCTACTCGATGGCAGCACTGGCACAACGGGCATGCGCAGCGTCATATCTACGAAAATCACCAACGCCAGCGGCAATGGCGGACGCAGCAGCACCATTTCACTACGTGGCGATGCCGGACGCTTGAGCGCCACCGAACAACTGCTCAACCAGCTGGACAATGACGACGACGATACATTGTCGCGCAGCAGCTTGCGGCTATTAAGTAGCGCCAGCACTAGTGGCGCCAGCATCAAAGGACGGAATGGTGGCGGCAGTGGCAGCAGCGGGCTCAGTAGCTACGATGGCAGCAATAGCGGTTCGGACGAGCGAGGCGGCGGTCGTGATGAAAATGGACTACGCAGCGGACTACGCGGTGGAAGCAGACGTTTGCAAACGCTCTTCTCTAGCAGCGGTAGTGGCTCTAGCAGTGGTGGAAATGGCAAATCCACATGGTAATAGAATATGTGAAAACAACAAAAACCACAGACACTTAATTACAGCGAAAACAAAAAAGATAACAAATTCGAATGACGATTTATGTGGAAGAGGGCAGGACGAAAAATGCAAACGAATGAGTAGAATAGATACATATGACTAACTAAAAATGAATTTAGAAAAAAAAAAGCGACAGTGAAATAGAGCAACCAAGAATGGGGGAGCAGTAGAGAATATTCAGGAGTATTGTGTGATCAACAGTCAGTAACGATTTGATAACAGACCCTAGCTTACGTATAATGGACTATGATTTGACCAAGCCGCCATCAGTAACGGCATTAACATAGACTTTAGTTTAGTTCTTAGTATTTTTTTGCATTTTGCTTCTCGATAGTATTAATGAACTAACCAACTTTGCGGTAGTGAAGATTTTTTCTAGTTGAATTGATGTATTTTTGCAACTGTTTTAGCATTTTATAGGGATTTGGGAGTATCTACACTTTAACTGACGCTTTTTTGCTTACGCAGCCACAACGATTGCATACCTTTAGGCGCGCGCGCTACCCGCAAACCCGCAAACCCACTAATACACGCACTGGTAAATGCTTTTACTACGCTTTTTTTTCGCAAGAACATACGAACGTGAATGTGTAACAATAACGTGAACAGAGAAATGAGATTGATTATACATACATACATACAATTGCATACAAGTCTACACACTTACTACATTTATACATATTTACATAAAAACTTATAAACACAAATTAAAATCACATTTATTTATATTTACCGGATATCTAGGCAAACACAACTACTTACTTACTCATGTCCATTAAGTTGTGATTCAAACTATCTTTACACTCAACCTACATACATACGTAATATTTAAAAAGCAGCATTAATTTTTCCTAAAAACTTCATTTTTATGCAGGCTTTGTTAACTCATTATCTTATGTATTATATGTTTTATATGTATTCATTCATTGTATCGTTTTGAAATGCTTTTTAACACTGTGTTTTTTATATGTATGTATAACATATTTGTGACTAACAAATCTTCAAGTAACTACATTTTTACTAATCATTAATCATCAGCATAATAATTTTGCATTTTTATATTCAACATGTTCTCACATTTAAGAATTTAGCAATTAAGTGCAACTTGCAATTTTTACATGGCATACAAGAAAAAACCAAAAAAAAAAGAATTAATAAATGACTTTATATTTTTTAAGATTGCAGCAAAAAGATTTACGACTTTTTTGTTTTAATATGGATAGTCCACAGTATCAGAAAGCAGTTACATAATATTGGTATAAACAGAAGGAAGCTGTTAATAATTGCATGGGGTAGCCACCCATCACCAGTATAGATGGATGGCAGAAAATTTAGACTCGCCATATTTTGGCCAGTTATGGCTTTAATTCTTTGGTTTATTTAATGTTTTATATTTTTTTTCTAAGGCTAGCTGGTTATGCAATAAACAACATATAAATCTACATTTCAAACTTTGTACAAAAATTATAAAAATTCAACAGAAATTGAAAACTTTTTATTTAGAATTTTTAGAACATTTTTTTAAGTATGCAGTTTTATAGCCTATCAACTATTTTAGTAAAATCAAGAGCAAGTTTCAAGTGGCTACAAAATACCGTTGTTTTTTGGAAATCATATTTGTAGAGGCGAGTCAATTATTTCGGCTCCCAGTGTATATATTTTGTTTAAGTAAAGTACTACAATAGGGCGTGAAACGAAAAAGTGTTTAAGGTAATTTGGTGTAAATATGTTACATATACATATTAACTATTTGACTAAGCTTAATTGGATTTGATTGGTGGCAACTCCCTTCAAAGGCATATTGGATTACTTCATTCGTTCAACACCCATATTACAATGTTGTATTGAAACTCTCGCTAAATTGCACGTCAACTTTTAAACTGAAGGCAACCGTCTTCAAAAGTATTTTAGAAATAAAGCCTAATTAAACTTTTCACGGTTGACACCTAGAGTGGGGAGCAGTGATGAGTACTTGGTGAGTTTTGTTAAATATTTGCAAGGTTTTTAAAATTAAAATTTGTGAGTAATTTTTTCATAAAAATATGGTTCATGTTTTAACCACAAACTTTCAAACTTTATACGGAGCTTACAAAAAATTTTGCTGGGGGGTACTTAAGCGGGTTTCACTGTATCTTCATTAATTAAGTAAACAAGTATGTACTTATATACTTTTTTTTCATTAAAAAATCGCTCATGTTTATAAATTGTTAAATGTAACGAACTCCTTTATTCAAATTAGCGTCGACAAAAATGCAACCATGTGCCACAATCATATGTTTTTCATGATTGCAAATTCTTGCTAGCTAAATTTTTCCCAGCAAGAATTTGGGACTTCTCTCCAAGGGAACTGCCACCTGCGCTCTAAATTTTTGAGTGATGGATAATTTTTTGGTCTGCAATAACTATTGTTCACTTTTTGATAACAAAATAATTTGAATAATTTAGTTAAGTAATATATTTCACTAGCGTTTTAAAAATGAAAACTGGCGATTTAATGCGTTTTCGACCGTGTAATTGCTCGTGCAAAGGAACTTTACTCCATGTAAGCTTTCTGTTAATAAATTCAAAATGGTTAACAATATTAACCTTCCACCATCGAAATTTGATTACGAGGATCGAATTGCGTCGAATGGTACCCTCGCGACAATTTTGTACGTAATTATACAATATATTCCAGTTTTAACATATTTTTTTTATTTGATTTTAATTATATATATTTTTTTTATAAAAATATAGTTCATTCTTTAACACAATCCTTGTAAATCCAAGTTTCCAACTTTGTGTAATATTAAAAAACAAATACTCAACAAAAATGTCTAGTTTTTAATTAGATTTGTAAGAAAGATTTTGAGTATGCCGTTTTGTAGTCCATTAAATTCTGGTAGAACAAAGTACAAGTTCTAAATGGCAAAAATTACGATTAATTTTTTTATATGTTTTTTTTTTTTATCGAACATGTTACGATTTTCTTCCATATACTTAAAAATCATTTGTGTTTATTCGTTATAAACGGGACAAAAAATTCCAAAAAATTAAACGGTAATTTTTAGCCAAATGGCTTGCACTTTGTTCTACTAGAATTCAATGGGCTACAAAACTACATACTCAAAATCCTTCTAAGAAATCTAATTAAAAAGCTCGAAATATCTACGGAATTTTGTTTAATTTTTTTTTTATATTAAAAAAAGTTTGGGACACTGATAATAAAGTAAATTAATTGTTAAAATTGTCAATATGTATATCATGAATATTTTGTACATTAATCCTCAGGCGCCGAACGCCGCCGCTGCGCCGATGTTTCCATGACTCGGCGGCGGAGAGAGAAAAACTACAAAAAACGGCGGCGGCGGTGGCGTGGCGAGGCGGCGTAAACCTCTAGCACATAGTGAAGCGAAAAGCGAAGGAAGCGACAAAGAGCATCAGCGTTGCCGTTTTGCTCCAATTACACCAAAATTGGTAGCTTCATTCTCCTTTCGTAGTTTGGTTGGTTTGATGAAGTTTTTGGTAGGAAAAAATGTTTTGAAAATTCAACCAAATTGAGCATTAAAATGTGTTTGCTTAGTTTGCGTTTACACGTTCAAAACATTGCTTTCACTTTGCTCACACGTATAAGACTTCTTTGTTTTTTTTTTTTTTTATTAAGCAGAACATATTCTGCAAACAAAAACTCAATTCCCAAAGGTATTACCGATCAGCTGTGGAAATAGAACATGAAGTTACCTATCGTCTTGAAAGAAAAATTGGTGATAGGCAATCTGCAAAGTGTGAGTGCAATTTGATACAAATTTGGAAGTTTTTTTTTACTGAAATTGCATAAAATGTCTGATTTTGTTTTTTCACTTAAAAAAATCGTTTGGTATGAATTGAATGAATCTGAAAGTTATTTACATTTTTTACAAAATTTTTTTATACAATACGTTAATTCTTTTTTAAAGGCCCGAATGGTTAACCAATACTGTAAACAATACTGTGTGTAGTTTTAATTTTCACCGCTAATTCGTGTAGCTAAAAACCTCGGAAATTCAAGAAATCGGACCGCTATTCCTCTCTTAACGAATTTGACAGAATCGTTGTTTGCATGACGTCACACTGGTGCAACTTGTTTACGTTTTGCTTCCAACATTTTGTCTTCTTCTTCCATTCTTGCTCACGCTTTGGCATTTCTCTCTCGCAATTGCACCAGTGTGACGTCACACAAAAGTTATTCTCAAAAATCCTCTCTGAGCGGCGCAATCTTGTATTCTATCATTCTTGGCTCTATAAAGTATTAACATATATGTATGTATGTATATCCTATTAAGATATTACTTTGTGCGATACAGCACCTCTATCCATGTTAGTAGTTAAGGTCCACAAATGTTACCCCTTATTTACTTATAATAAATAAAAAGCTCGATAGCCTCTTATCTCATATAATAATAATAATAATAGATTGGCGCTTACACATATGTTAGTGTTTGGCCGAGCTTCTCCTCCGATTTGTGGCGTACACCTCGATCTTATCACACAAAGCGGAGGGACCTACAGTTTTACGCCGAGTTCGAACGGCCATTGTTTTTTTATGAGAAACTGTTATTCATGACAGAAATACACTCGGAGGTTTGCCGTTGCCTGCCGAGAGACGACCGCTGTTAAGAAAAAACCTTTTTTCTATATTTTTTTTGAACCCAGGCGTTGCGGAGTGGAAGCGGCCGACCCTTAGGTAAATTGAGAAAGGACAATTATTTTGCTATCAATTGGCTGTTTTCTAGATAATCATGGAACATAAGTTCTACATATGGGACAATTCGAAATGCGGAACAATTAATAATGACTATTAAACTGGTAGAACAAATCCAAGCTCGGAAAATTAAATTATGTTACTAATTTTGAAAACCATCGTAACACCATTATCGAATTTACATACATATGTATATATTTTATTTGTTTTATACATATCGTTACCTTAATTTACAAAGGCC